ATCACACTCAAGTCAACAACGGTCACCACCACAGAATACGAGTCACTGCAACGAATGTACGAAGACGTGTTGAAGGAGAGAGATGCCATTCGACTTGAGCTGATTGAGTTTAGATCCAACAGCGAGCGTGAACTTGCTATCCAAGTGGAAAACCAAATCAGAGTCTACCGTGAGGATATCAGGGAGAAAGAAGTCGCCATTAGCAACTTCCGCTCTGAAAACATGAAGTTCCAAGCAGAGTTTGAGACGTTCAAGAGAGAAGCTGACAGCAAGCAGTATATGATAGATGGATACTTGGTGGAGATCGACCGCCTGAAGAACGAGATCAATGCATTAAACAAACGCATTGTGGAGTTCGAGTCTGTCAAGCGATCTTACGAAGATGTTTGCCGAGAACGTGATTACATCCAGAGGCAGTTTGCAGATTTCAAATCCAGGAGCGAACAAGATACAACCTTTCAAATTCAAATCCAAACTGATGGTTTCCGACAAGAGATCAAAGAGAAAGATCTGGCCATTGAAAGATTCTCGTCCCAGAACAAACTTCTTATGGAAGAGGTTGATGGATTGAAGAGGGAACGAAGCACTTTCTACAGCAAATCAGAATACGATTCCTTGAGGCAACAGTATGAAGAAATGTGGAAAGAAAGAGATGCTCTTCGTGGACAGATTGCTGAGCTAAGATCCAAGAGTGAAAGGGACCTAATCGTTCAGATAGAAAGTCGCACCGAAACGTACCGCACAGAGATAAGAGAGAAAGAAACCATCATCAGTCGCTTGCAGTCGGAGAGCATGAAGTACCAGACAGAAATAGATGGTCTGAAGAGGCAACTGGGCAACCAAGAGGGTTATCTGATTGAAATTGAACGCCTGAAGAAAGAAGTTAACGCACTGAGATTCCCAGACATCCGTGCCAGCGCAGAGTTTATCTCCTTGCGGCGAACTTACGAAGAGGTTTGTAAAGAGCGAGACGCACTGAGAGGCCAAGTTATTGACATCAAGACGAAAGGAGACCAAGAGCATGAGAACCAAGTCAGAATCTACCGTGAAGAGATCAGAGAGAAAGATGTAGAAATCAACAGACTTCGATCAGAAGGAATGGCATTCAAGGCTGAAATTGAAGGATTTAAAAGAGATCTCGGCAACCAGGAGGCCTATCTGATTGAAATTGAACGCCTCAAGAAGGAAGTTACCACACTTAGATTCCCTGACATCCGTGGTAGCGCAGAGTTTATCTCCTTAAAGCGAACCTACGAAGAAGTCTGTAAAGAACGAGACGCATTGAGAGGCCAGGTTGTTGACATTAAGATGAAGGGAGACCAAGAGCATGAGAACCAAGTCAGAATCTACCGTGAAGAGATCAGAGAGAAGGAAGTAGCAATGGAAAATCTTCGCTTGGAAAGCATGTCATTTAAGGCCGAAATTGAAAGATTAAAGAGAGATCTCGGTAATCAAGACGCCTATTTGATTGAAATAGACCGCTTGAAGAAGGAAGTCAACACATTAAGGTTCCCAGACATCCGTGGCAGCGCAGAGTTTATCTCCTTGCACCGAACTTACGAAGAAGTTTGCAAAGAACGAGATGCACTGAGAGGCCAAGTGGTTGACATCAAGATGAAGGGAGACCAAGAGCATGAAAGCCAAGTGAAAATTTATCGCGAAGAGATCAGAGAGAAAGAAGTAGAAATCAACAGACTTCGATCAGAAGGAATGGCATTCAAGGCTGAAATCGACGGATTCAAGAGAGACCTCGCCAACCAGGAAGTCTATTTGATGGAAATTGAACGCCTCAAGAAAGAAGTCAACACATTAAGGTTCCCGGACATCCGTGGTAGTGCGGAGTTCGTCTCCTTACAGCGCACATACGAAGAGGTTTGCAAAGAACGAGATACACTGAGAGGCCAGGTTATAGATATCAAGATGAAGGGAGACCAAGAGCATGAAAACCAAATCACAATGTACCGTGAAGAGATTAGAGAGAAGGAAATAGAAATCAAGAGACTTCGCACCGAAATCATGACATTTAAGGCAGAAATTGAAGGATTGAAGAGGGACCTGACGACCACTAAGCAGCGAAGTGAGATAGAGGTGGAACGCGTTAGGAAGGAATCATCAGTAATAAGCCCTTCCGTTATCCGCAGCAGTGCCGAGTTTGTCACCCTACAACGATCATATGAAGCAATCTGCCAAGAGAGAGACAGCCTCCGCCAGCAAATGATCGACACGAGAACAAAGAACGAGCGTGAAGTGTCCATTCAAATCGACAATCAAGCAAGAGTTTACCGTGAAGAAATCAAGGAGAAAGATGCCGCTTTACAGATGCTTCGTTCAGAAGCGATCACACTTCGAGCTGAAGTCGAGTCGCTAAAGCGTGACCTCCGAATTGCACAGGAAACACCTGTACATGACACGAAGATGGAACAAGAACTGTTTAACCTGAGAACAAAGTTTGCCAAACTCCAAGAAGAATACAACATCGTCATGTTGGCAAAGAGCAAGTTGGAGGAGGAGATGGTCATCAAAGTCAACAGTGGAATGGCTGACAAACAAGACTACATCTACAAGATTGAGAAGGAGAATAGAGAATTGAAGTCCGAGAACGAGTATTACGAGAAGACCGTGGACGAAAAGAATGCAGCCATTGGTGATTTTCGCCTGAAGGTCAGAAACTTGCAGGAAAAAGTTGAGAATCTGAAGAAAGAGATTTTTGTCGCTGAAGAAGCCTACGAGAAAGCGGAACTTCGCCTGAAGGAGGTGCTGAAAGCAGACTACAAGCCTGTGACAACATATGAAGTCCGTCGCTATCGACTCTCAACAGCGGAGTCCCCCACAGGCACCCATAACAGTTCAGGATCCACCTACGCTGTGAACAAAGCCGCGTCCAGTGATGGTGACGCTTTGCAGTTTAGTGCCACATCGACCCCAATGAAATCTGCGCTTGATGGCGAACGTACAGAAGTTGTGCATAACAGCGGCACCGTCACCACATCAACAGGGCTAGACAGGGACCTGGCCAGGGCTGAAGGAAACTTTCAAAGTAGCGAGGATACTACCACAAGTACCAAGACCGTGCTGATGACAGACAAGGTTGACGGAGTCGCTGATTCTGGTGTTGCTGGCACCAGTTACCGCTCTACGTATTCCAGTCAGCCGTCAACCTACAGGACCACTTCTGCCACAACCTACCGTACAACCACAGGACGTACGTCTGTTTCTGGAGGGTCTGGCTACAGAACCTCCTACCCCACTGGGCGGAAGTACTCCGGCCGCTATTTAGTCACAAGGAAGTTCTATTGAAGAAAATCATCAGTCTACCAGTGGGACTGGTCTTGCTGCTAAAAGAGAGACACTTTCAAATTAAAGACTACTATTTCATTGTCATCTTTAGTACGCAACAACAATTGCGTTTGCATCAATATCTAACTAAAACGAATAGGGTCAGGGTCATGATATCGTAGACGATTCTGCCTTAAATAAGAATCCAGTGAAATTCGGAACGGGTTCAAACGGTCCTGATACAAACGAACAACAAAATAATCCAAACGGGGACGTTAAACATGAGGAAGGATTTTTAAAGAATAATGTAATAATTTGTATCGGAACTTTTTGTACACTGTCTTGGAAATAGCTCTTTGTTACGAAGCTTAACGTTCAAAATTGAAAACAAAAGTATTGAGAGGAAAAATGACAAGCGTTTAAGATATCATGATCCAGTCTCTTTATATGTTCTTCATAGTTAACATAACATTTTCAGCCGTTCGAGTATTATTCCTAAACAGTAAGTTGGCATGCACTACGTTTTTCAAACACCTTTAATTATTTATGGAGAGAACCTTTGTAAGTTTGTGGATTGAAGCTATGAGTTCAATTGTGTTATTCTAAGTGAGTTTAGTGTGTCTTCACAAGCGTGGATTATATTTGTTTGATTGGATGGAGAGTTATTTCTTTCACAATTTGAACCTAAGATAGAAGGTTATTATGTCATATCGAGGAATTGTTCGGTATTATTGTTTTGCCTGAACGTGCGTTGTTAACAATCTCCAAACATTTTATATTCTTTAATTATTCCTGTCATACAAAGACTTCACCACCGTGAGCAATCGTTTTAAGGGCCGTAGCTAGTAACTGGCAAACCGAGGCACTTGCCTCGGTCATTTTTTTCGCTTTTGTTGTTCATAGTCATCATAAACACCCTAAATAGCTAGGAAGAGAATTTAACGATGGGCATTACCTCAGTCATAACTTTTTCACGGACATTGCCTCAGTCATGATAATATTTTTTTCTGGCTATGGCCCTAGTCTTTACGTATTATATAATTTATTACTTACGACCTTATTAACTCTTAATTTTGAGGAGTTCGTTACCAATATTTTAAAGAGGATACCTTGTTATTGTTTTGGCATGTCTTCGAGAAGCTAAAAAAAATAGAAAAAAGTAGCCCTGGCTAAATAGAGGTAATAAGCATCATTCTCATATTCATTACAGTTCACTTGTTCGTAATTTTACCAAAATTATATAATCCATATTTACTGGGCGTTAGTAGGCCAGCGTGTACAAAAGGGAAACCATTTGAATTAAAGCTTTTACTGATTTGCTTATCAACAATACAGGTAATTGTCAGGACATCAAAAGTTATCTCTGAGGCCGGCAAACATGATTATATCTAGATTGGAATTTCCACTGCTTCCTCCATTCCAGTCGGAGGCTCCTTTTCCAAGCAGCGGTAGCTAGAGCAGTCGAGCCTAGCTTGACACTTACTTTCTTTTTGTTAAATCTAACGCCCTTCCATGTAACCCTTTTCATAATTTTAAACTTTTCAATAAAAGAAGTGTTTACTTTATTCATCAAGGTGTGGATATTACTTTAACCCAAAATGTATAGGATCGTTTATTGGCCCAAATTTTGCTCGTTAGAGACTTGGGTAGGTCAATTGAACAGAATTATGGAGAACAAAGAACGTTTAGGAAAAAAGTTGTGCTTTTCTTTAAGATCTGTTTTGAAGGAGAAACTTAAAAGGTACCTAATGACAATAATATTCCAATCAAATGTTGATGGAGAAAGCTATAGGACTGGTGCAGGTTTAAGCAAATGGTCGATGGATGAAACAGATAACAAATACAGAGGCCTTAATACGTTATGTTGTGCTTTCATACGAAAACAAATAATAATAAAACTTGTTATATTATCATTTTAATATAATGGTTGACAAACTACTCCTAAATTTTGGCGCGAAATTTCAGTGTCAATTTATAATTTCACATTTGAAATTACAAAATTGCCATCGCAATGTTTGGCGCGAAATTTCTCGATATAATAAACAAGTAAGAAACCCACGATTGTAAGCGTAATTTGTCACCTAGGATGTCTAAGGTAATCAAATAGTATATTCGTAAAATTAAGAAATAATTTCACGTGACGGTTTTGTCAAAAGTCTAATAATTTAACAATAATTGAGAATTTTGACAAAATCATTCCCTAATTTAACTCGTCACCATTCGATTTCCCATACATATTACAGCAAACTGGCCCACGATAAAAAGACAAGTTTTGATTGGCTCCCTGAGCATTCTGAATTTTGCAATCCGGACCGCTAAAATGGACCGCCCATGAGTTAGTTTTAACGAACTGCTTTATTTTCAAAACACTGCACAAAAGAAAACAGTTTGCTGGGTAGTGGAAATATATTTTTCTCAATATTTGGCATGCAATATAAATTTAACTTTCACGAAAGGGAGCAGAAATATGAAAATATGTTTTACCCTGCTGTTAGGTCCTTATTGGGCAATTGGTCGTGTTTATTCCAAGTTTATGGACCTCATGCTCGTTCAATAACATAAGCAGGTATAAACATGTATGATAATACTGAACGATTTTTGTTTGCGCTTATAACATATACCGTTTATCCCCTTACAAATCCTTGTGTTTTGACTTTTCGTTGAACATGGTACAAATACTCATATTTGGAGTTTAGTCTACGTACCTTCCATCTCTCGCCTGCGGATCAAACATTTCCGAGCGACATTTAAATTTCAATTTGCTACTCGTCCAGTTTGAATCTTCCACACTGTGACCAAACACAATACATCAAGAATCTAAAATTATTACCTCGCTAGAGTCCTTTATCTCTTTATTTCCCGAGAGGTGTCTGCCGTTGATTGACGGGTGTTTCAGCAATTTTTTGCCATCAAGTCAAGTCAAGGCAAGTCAAGTCATCTTTATTTAGGCAGGGTAGCCCCATATGTGCCCATTGCCATCTAAATATAAATCAATCAAGAAAATTCCCGTTAAATAAATAAATAATTAAACAAACAAACAAACAAACAAGCGACTGAGGATCTCAGCTCAGGCCAACTCAACTTCGTTTCCAGGGTCTCTCATGAAGATTTGAGACCATAGGAACGAGGTTGAGGACAACGTTCCACCTTGCCTTCTTCCCATTCTCCTCGCGCCTTCACCGTTCACATTCTTGACTCTGTCGCCTTTCACAAAATTAACAAAAGCAAACTAAAGAAAGAACAAATTTGAATTGCTTTCCTAACAAAAGAGAAATGAGATTGCGTGTGATTTGAGTTTAGTTTATTTTTACTTCCAATGCTATCGAGGATATCGATCGTTTCCTGTTTATAATTTAGTTAAGTGGCATCTTATTTCATAATTTGTTACTCAAATTCCTGTTCCACTTATTCAACAGTCAAGCCGACACAAACTAATTAATATTTCCGGGACAAACGTGCGCCCATTTTACCGCATTCTTTCTTGAACAATAAAATGTACGTCACTCAAAATGAGGCGTTTTCAACACAAGGTGCTTAATGTGTCGTATTGGCCCTATGCGTAACGATCTCTGTCACGCGCCGTTTTATCCACGATACAAGAGCACACTAGATCCAAACACATATCACACTGCGATGGGAACATCAATTGCTGATCTGGACTCGCGTTTTTTGGAGACCCAAGATCTTACGTGGTCTTGTTGCGGCAATGGTAAAGTTTCCACGATATCTCATTAAATAAAACATAAACCCAAGGTAATTCACAGTAGGATTATGCATTGTTCGTGTTAAGATTGGACAGCCAATGGTGATGGAGACGGAATATTTCGAAATAGAATTCACTGATCTTTTTAAGTTGGCGTCCCTTTAAATTACTTTAATCTCGACTCCTTCGCGCTGTGCTAGGAAGCTTGACCCGATCTCTGCCACCCTACACGCGATTTGTTGCTAACTTAGTCGAGGCGTTTCAAGTTGACATACCCTCAAGAGGTTGCAACCAGTTGCGAGATGGCTCTTGTGCAGTTTCAACAAGATCTTAATGATATGACGAGAAGTCAGAAGGGAGAGGTAAACTTTATCTCTGTTGTATCTAGTCTGGCACTTCAGAAGCATGGAATTGAAGATTTCAATTTGTTTTTGATCTGAAAAACTGAAGGCATTTTGAAATTATTTAAACTTTACGAAGCTCGAAGCAGTACTTTAAATCTTTGCATGTGAGAGTTTAGAACAAATCTTTAAGTGTTTAGGGGTGCGGCTCATTTGCAAAACTCATTCTTTGTCGTCGATATTAGCATTTCACGTCTACTTAAGGTTGCAAAGCTTTTGATCTGCACCAAAAGAAAAGAATCGGAAGCCCTGGGGGCAAGAATTATATTTGAACAATTGTTATTTCCTTCATTCGATTGATTGTTTCTTGGCTTTCGCTGATAAATAAATGTTTAATGGGTCGTTATATCGTCCTCATTCATGAAACTGTACAGAAACCAAGGATAAATTAAACAGTTTGCGAGATACCGATAACTATGATTTGATTTGCAAATGTTTTATCTTGAATTGTGCACCTTTAGGAATTCCAAAAAACTTGTAAATTTTTAAAAAAATTCTTTGACAGCTACCTAAAATAAACAAATAGTACAAAAATGTGCAAAGTCTTTTCCATGTTAAATGAACTCAATTAGATTAACTGCCTAATGCAAAGTGGTGTCATCTCAAGGGAATTTCCTTTGTTTGTTTCAAACATTAATTAAAATTAGGAAAACTGAGATAGAAAATAATTCTAACACGATGTAAGTAGTAACTCTGCTTTGTACTTGAAAACGTAATATATGACGTTCAGAAAATCTACAGATCTAGAAAAGAGGGCCATAGAAAAGTTCAATTTGGTTCAAAGTACCAATGTTCCCAAGGTGTCGGGTAAATACTGTAATGGCCTAAGGAAATAAAATTAGCATAAAAGCAAAGACTTAAATGTACGGCAGGGGTAAAATAACGTGCGCATTAAAGAAAATAATGTGCCAAAGCGTTTTCGGGCTAGATTATACCATCTCTTTTTACGACAGAAGAGAAATATTGCTCTGTCACTAGAAAAATATGTCTTACGCTATCTTACCTTGCTATATTCTTGTAAATGTAAAGAAAATGTGAATGTCTTATATAAGCTCGCAAAACACTTAAGAGCTCTCTTCAAGTCGTTATTAAAGCAGCTCAGTCACGGCATTTTGAGTTATTTTGGCCACGTACAGAATTACCTTAAAATGAAAGGAAACGTTAAAATAGTAGTTAACTCAGATAGAAAAACACGAAAGAGATGATATTGAACCTTATTATATGGCTATGTCTCACAAGGACTGGGAACTACCGAATTCACGAATTTTTATTGGCTGAAATCGATATCGAAATCGGTCTAGATTTTCCCATCTAAAGCGGCACCTAGACCGTTAATGTTTTGCGGCGAAAAAGTTGCAAACTAAAATGCAAAAATATTGACTTTTTTCTTCTAACAATATTTATTTATGGAAGTGCTAAAAAGCCTGATGAGAAAAAAAAAGTAAAAAGGACAAGCAAACCTTGGCAGAATTAAGCTCAGCTCATCGCTGTTCGCAAGCAAAATGTCAGTTAGTACAAACCAGTTACATTAAACGACTTAAATTGTTCTTGTTTGCCAAATAATAAACATCTTATTAACCGAACTTAGTGGGTCTGTATGGGAGAATCTTGACCTCGGTCGTGGGTACAGACCTCCCTGAGTTCGGCCTGTACACACGGTCTGCTCGGTCTGCTCGGCTAATAAGAACTAAATAAAGAAAGAAGAATGGAGAAGATTACTACAGATAACAAGCGACGAACTTGAAAAAATTAGGCTTAAGTTATCAAGATGGGCAAACCGTGAGGTCGCACCTTTAACTGTTGGAATTAGAATTCGAGGGAATTAGAGTTAGAGGGAGAACCGGAGAACGTGGATGAAACCATCAGAGCGCAGAAACGAGAACAAACAACAAACCCAACCCACTAATGACACTATTCCCAAAACATAACGCTAAAATCTTAAAGGTGAATTAAGGCTAATTATCAAGCATTGCAATAATTCTCTCTACAGATCAGCTTTTCTACTTCACAAGTTGAAGGAAGAGACTACGACACGCTGCAACGCCGCTATGATGGCCTTTGGAGTGAAAACGAAAAAATGAGAAAGGAGCTGGAAGAGGTGAAAGCAAGAACCCGATACTCTACGAGTACTGAAAGTCAATGGCAAGAGAACCGAGAGAAGGAGAGGCTCCGTTCCGAGAACATCACACTACAGGCTCAAATTGAGGCGCTGAAGAAGGAGGCGGCTGATTTAAGCACAAGATCTGACCACACCATGAGAGTGCACACTAGTTCAGTCCAGATAGACAGCAATGAAGAATTCTATCGTCAGGAGATCAAAGATAGGGATGCAGTTATCGACAAGCTACGATCGGAAACGATGACTCTGCATGCTGAAATTGAAGGACTGAGGCGTGACATACGATCTTTCCACAGCAGGACCGAGTTTGAAGCTTTACAGTTGAAGTACGACGAGATACTGAAAGACAGGGATACACTCCGTGAGAAATTGATGGAGGTAAGGACCACGAGCGAGAGAGATGTGTCTGTTCACATTGAAAGCCGCATGGAAGGCTTCCAACAAGAGGTAAGAGATCGGGAAGCCCTGATCGACAAGTTGCGCTCAGAGAACCTGATTGTCAAGAACGAACTTGAATCATTGAAGAGAGAGGTCAGCGGAAAGGAATCTGACACAGATGTTTACCTGAAAGACATTGAACGCCTCAGGCAAGAGATCGCAACCTTGAAGACCAGCAGTTCAGATTACGACACTCTGAAGAAGACTTACGAAGAAGTGTGCAAGGAAAGGGATTTTGTACGTAAACAGCTGTTCGAGTGCAAGACACAAAGCGAGAACGAAATCTCAGTTCACCTCGAGAGCTATTATCAAGCCTATAAACAAGACGTTAGAGAGAAAGAAATTGCCATTGATCGGATGCGTACAGAAAATACCACTTTGAGGGCTGAGTTGGAGGCCTTAAGAAGAGAAATGGCAACTTTCTACAAGAGAACAGAGTACGAGTCTTTGAAGCTTCAATACGATGAGATGTGGAAAGAAAGGGACGCCCTCCGAGAGGAGCTGATAGATTTCAAGTCAAAATCTGAGCGCGATGTTCTGATCCAAGTGGAGAACAAGACTATGATCATCCAAAAAGAGATCAGAGAAAAGGAAATGGAGATCGCCAAGCTTCGCTCCGAGGCCATGTCCATTCAGATGAACTTTGATGTGCTCAAGCGAGACTTTGAGAGCAAGCAACACTTGATCGAAGGCTTCCAATCCGAGATTGAGCGACTCAAAGGTGACATTATCACACTCAAGTCAACAACGGTCACCACCACAGAATACGAGTCACTGCAACGAATGTACGAAGACGTGTTGAAGGAGAGGGATGCCATTCGACTTGAGCTGATTGAGTTTAGATCCAACAGCGAGCGTGAACTTGCTATCCAAGTGGAAAACCAAATCAGAGTCTACCGTGAGGATATCAGGGAGAAAGAAGTCGCCATTAGCAACTTCCGCTCTGAAAACATGAAGTTCCAAGCAGAGTTTGAGACGTTCAAGAGAGAAGCTGACAGCAAGCAGTATATGATAGATGGATACTTGGTGGAGATCGACCGCCTGAAGAACGAGATCAATGCATTAAACAAACGCATTGTGGAGTTCGAGTCTGTCAAGCGATCTTACGAAGATGTCTGCCGAGAACGTGATTACATCCAGAGGCAGTTTGCAGATTTCAAATCCAGGAGCGAACAAGATACAACCTTTCAAATTCAAATCCAAACTGATGGTTTCCGACAAGAGATCAAAGAGAAAGATCTGGCCATTGAAAGATTCTCGTCCCAGAACAAACTTCTTATGGAAGAGGTTGATGGATTGAAGAGGGAACGAAGCACTTTCTACAGCAAATCAGAATACGATTCCTTGAGGCAACAGTATGAAGAAATGTGGAAAGAAAGAGATGCTCTTCGTGGACAGATTGCTGAGCTAAGATCCAAGAGTGAAAGGGACCTAATCGTTCAGATAGAAAGTCGCACCGAAACGTACCGCACAGAGATAAGAGAGAAAGAAACCATCATCAGTCGCTTGCAGTCCGAGAGCATGAAGTACCAGACAGAAATAGATGGTCTGAAGAGGCAACTGGGCAACCAGGAGGCTTATCTGATTGAAATTGAACGCCTAAAGAAAGAAGTTAACGCACTGAGATTCCCAGACATCCGTGGTAGCGCAGAGTTTATCTCCTTGCAGCGAACTTACGAAGAAGTTTGTAAAGAACGAGATGCATTAAGAGGCCAAGTTGTTGACATCAAGATGAAGGGAGATCAAGAGCACGAAAACCAAGTGAGAATCTACCGTGAAGAAATCAGGGAGAAAGAAGAAGAAATCAACAGACTTCGATCAGAGGGCATGACATTCAAGGCTGAAATTGAAGGATTCAAAAGAGACCTCGGCAACCAAGAGGCTTATCTGATTGAAATTGAACGTTTGAAGAAAGAGGTTAACACACTGAGATTCCCAGACATCCGTGCCAGCGCAGAGTTTATCTCCTTGCAACAAACTTACGAAGAAGTTTGCAAAGAGCGAGACGCACTGAGAGGCCAAGTTATTGACATCAAGATGAAAGGAGACCAAGAGCATGAAAGCCAAGTCAGAATCTACCGTGAAGAGGTCAGAGAGAAAGAAGTAGAAATCAACAGACTTCGATCAGAAGGAATGGCATTCAAGGTTGAAATTGAAGGATTTAAAAGAGATCTCGGCAACCAGGAGGCCTATCTGATTGAAATTGAACGCCTCAAGAAGGAAGTTACCACACTTAGATTCCCTGACATCCGTGGTAGCGCAGAGTTTATCTCCTTAAAGCGAACCTACGAAGAAGTCTGTAAAGAACGAGACGCATTGAGAGGCCAGGTTGTTGACATTAAGATGAAGGGAGACCAAGAGCATGAGAACCAAGTCAGAATCTACCGTGAAGAGATCAGAGAGAAGGAAGTAGCAATGGAAAATCTTCGCGTGGAAAGCATGTCATTTAAGGCCGAAATTGAAAGATTAAAGAGAGATCTCGGTAATCAAGACGCCTATTTGATTGAAATAGACCGCTTGAAGAAGGAAGTCAACACATTAAGGTTCCCAGACATCCGTGGCAGCGCAGAGTTTATCTCCTTGCACCGAACTTACGAAGAAGTTTGCAAAGAACGAGATGCACTGAGAGGCCAAGTGGTTGACATCAAGATGAAGGGAGACCAAGAGCATGAAAGCCAAGTGAAAATTTATCGCGAAGAGATCAGCGAGAAAGAAATGGAAATCAACAGGCTTCGATCAGAAGGAATGGCATTCAAGGCTGAAATTGACGGATTCAAGAGAGACCTCCGCAACCAGGAAGCCTATTTGATCGAAATTGAACGCCTCAAGAAAGAAGTCAACACATTAAGGTTCCCGGACATCCGTGGTAGTGCGGAGTTCGTCTCCTTACAGCGCACATACGACGAGGTTTGCAAAGAACGAGATACACTGAGAGGCCAGGTTATAGATATCAAGATGAAGGGAGACCAAGAGCATGAAAACCAAATCACAATGTACCGTGAAGAGATTAGAGAGAAGGAAATTGAAATCAACAGACTTCGCACCGAAATCATGACATTTAAGGCAGAAATTGAAGGATTGAAGAGGGACCTGACGACCACTAAGCAGCGAAGTGAGATAGAGGTGGAACGCGTTAGGAAGGAATCATCAGTAATAAGCCCTTCCGTTATCCGCAGCAGTGCCGAGTTTGTCACCCTACAACGATCATATGAAGCAATCTGCCAAGAGAGAGACAGCCTCCGCCAGCAAATGATCGACACGAGAACAAAGAACGAGCGTGAAGTGTCCATTCAAATCGACAATCAAGCAAGAGTTTACCGTGAAGAAATCAAGGAGAAAGATGCCGCTTTACAGATGCTTCGTTCAGAAGCGATCACACTTCGAGCTGAAGTCGAGTCGCTAAAGCGTGACCTCCGAATTGCACAGGAAACACCTGTACATGACACGAAGATGGAACAAGAACTGTTTAACCTGAGAACAAAGTTTGCCAAACTCCAAGAAGAATACAACATCGTCATGTTGGCAAAGAGCAAGTTGGAGGAGGAGATGGTCATCAAAGTCAACAGTGGAATGGCTGACAAACAAGACTACATCTACAAGATTGAGAAGGAGAATAGAGAATTGAAGTCCGAGAACGAGTATTACGAGAAGACC